CAAGATAGCATCTTTCTTCACAAGCCTTGATCTCACTTAAGATGTTGTCTTTTGAAAAAATAACTTGGTGACACGGTCACATGTTGATAGTTATCAAGTAAAAATTGGGACTCAAAGAATGCCTCTGTCAAGTACACTGAATTTTACTTAGTGTTGAAACCCTGAAGCAGGAGGAGGATCTATTCAAATGGAGTGTTTAAATTACTTTTCTGCACCAGAGGCCCTGCTAAAATACTTTAATTTTATAAATAAAAATACCATTGCTCTAAAATAGATGATGCTATCTGAATCCACTTCTCCTTGAAAATATAGTTCTGCAAATTAAGGGTACAGTATCTTAGGCATGGATGAAAATACTTTTGTGAGAAGTATAACTTATTTTAGGCTGGTGTTGTTTTTTTTTTTTTTTTAATTTTAAATCTAATGACTTAGTGTGTTTGTGTCTGTTAGAGCAATTAAAATCCTTCCTCTTACAAGACCAATTTAAAATTGTGGGATACAGTAGGCATCTTGAGTTTTTTTCTCAGTGTGTAAAAGGGAGACAATAAAGAGGTTTGGTGATGCCTCGAGTCTGTTGTATCCTCTCTCACTACTATTAGCAGTTACCTATATTTCCAAATTTAGACGTACTGTAGTGTCATCACAGTGAGTTGGAACGCGCGGAATTATAATATAAAGAGGCAGAGAGACTATGAGTGTCAAATGTGCAATGAAGGCTTTCTATGGATCAGTCCTCTTGGTCTGCATGTGATCTTATGAAGTATAAAATGTATCTCACTGAAAGCTGTGGAAGTCTGTCCTTAATTTAGTAGTTTCCTGCAGCTGTCACACCACAGAATAAATAAATCAAGCTGTTGTGTATGAGAATCTCCCTCACACCCATGCACAAAATCCTCCCACAGATTATAAAATGTACCAGAAAAAAAACCTCCCTTCTTCTTCAATAGAGAACTTTCCACAGTCTCTTTGGGCAAATTGTTCCAGTGCTTAATTACCCTCATGTTAAGTATCCCTTTATAAGAGCAAGTAGGGTCAGGACAAGGGGGGGTTACTTTAACCTAGCAAAGGGGAGATTGAGATTTTTCAAACAGCCACCACATCTGAGAAGAATTGTAAGTTGCCTGTCTGTACTCCCTCCTTTGGGACAGCCTGATTGTCTGCATGAAGCAGTTTTCATCTTCCTGTATGAGATATGTGTTGGTAACACTTTTTCCTCTTATCTTTTACTGTGACACTGTATTAATACTATCATCATGTAACCATAAATGACACAGGGTTGAATGTTTTCTAAGTAGCCCTGTGGGCCTAGTTTACAGAAGTTAGGTAATATAATAGTTACATCCTGTAGAGTCATAGCTCTTCAGCTTAGTTGTTCAATCTTCTTCCTTAGGGCCCAGGTCAAGTCCTGAGGTTAGCAGTTGTTTCACTCTGAGCTCAATAGTTCTTTTTGGCTTCCTTGTACATGCTTATATGCTGATGAAGGTGGCTCTGAATCTGTATGCAAGATCAGAGGATATTGCTACCAGCCTGAAGTTTTGGGGGTTGGGTTTTGGGAGTTTAGTTGTTTTGTTGCTTTTTTTTTTTTTCTTAATGGAAACTTCTTAAGAATACAAAGTCTGTATTTCCACATTTTTAACAGAGATGTCATTGCTGGTGTTAACTAATGACCTATCTTCTTTTGATCCGTTTGGAGTAAGTTTCTTTGAACATCCTGCAAGGCTGGTAGATGTGTCAACAGAACTTGACTATTCTACTGTTCTCTGTATTTCATACTTGGTCCAGCTGGCAAAGACAATGTCTGTGTGTCTCTGGAAAAGCAAACTGGTGCCAACTTGGCCTAAGCTGCTTATATGATAAACACAGTGAAACATATATTACAATGCCAACAGCCTTATTTTCATAGTACTTTAAGATGATTTTTACAGTATTAAAGGTTGCAGTGAAAAAGAATGAAGAACATAATGGGTGTCAAAAGTGTGATGAGGGTCAAGTCAATTCTGAAACTACTGCTTTTGAAAAAAACACTTGAGACTGTGAAAGCTGTGGTTGCACTGACACAACCCAAGTATCTGCATCTTGCCCGTGTTCCTTCAGAGTAAATAGTCTGGTACTTGCTGGTGCTAAAATAAGCACAGATCGTATCATGGAACCATAGAATCCCAGACTGGTTTGGGTTGAAAGGGGTCTTAAAGCGCACCCAGTTCCCAGACCCTGCCACAGGCAGGGACACCTTCCACTAGACCAGGTTGCTCCAAGCCCCATCCAACTTGGATGTGAGCACTGCCAGGGATGGGGCAGCCACAGCTTCTCTGGGCAATCTGTTCCCATGACTTGATCCATGGTATGTATCTTCATGTGTTTTATCCTTAGACCTCGGTGTGGTTTGGGCAGGGCCATTTGCCTTGTTTTGATTTCTCAAAATTCAATAGCAGCAGTTTCTAATAAAGACACAGGGTAGTGAGAATAAGACCAAAAATGTCTTTTGATACTTCAAATAAAACTACATAGGAAATCACCTCTACAAAGTGTATCTTCTTGAGTGTCAAGATTTGAATAGCAATATAAGTCAAAGAAGGTTTCATTGTTTGTTTACCTAAACAAGAAATCTAGCCAGCAACATAGTATCTGTATAAATGTATAATGCTTAGGAGTATTTGGGGTTTGCTAGGTTTAAACTTCAGTTTGTAAGGCATTGCCCTAATGCTCACAAGAGTTGGGGAAGTAAAACAAGTTGGTTTGTTGTTTTTTTTTCTGCTAGCTAACTCAGCTTCTGATTGCTCCCATCTTACACAGTCAGTGTGCTCGTTATAGGAGGGCCAGAGGAGCTGCCTCATACCTGTCTGCATTAATACATGGGAGTTCTTTGAATTGCTCGTACTGAAGTTCATTCTCAGCCTCGAGAGAAGGAGGGCTGCAGCAGGAGTGCCACAGGAGGCAGTGTATCTCAGTGATGCTGGCTCCTGCTGCCCAGAACATGGGTCTGTGTCTCTGAATGACAGCAAAGAGTAGAAACAGGAAGAAGCAGCGGTGAGGATGCTTGAGGTGTCAACATGCCTATCTGTGGTTCTGGTAGAGCAACAGTTCCTTAGAAATAACACTGTCCAAAACATACAATTAGATCAGGCTGGGTTAAGGAGATAGTTCTGGTACTTTACTCCATGTTTATTTTTTCTAGAGAGTGAGTTCCTGCACGTGGGGCTGCTCAGGACAATGATATATAATGATCATCACATACCAGTGACTGAAAGACAGGGCTGTGCAGTATTGTCAGCTAATGTTGGGGTTTTTTTAAATACAAAACCATCTGAAACAAATGTGCAGATTTTGTGGCTTTGTCCTCAGAGACCAAAATGCCAGAAGCTGCTCTGAATTCAGTGTGGTCACTGTTATCTGTCCTTCTTGGGGTTTTTATACTTTTCTTATCCATTAAACAAATTAAAAGAAATCCATTTTCTGATCCCATTATGCTTGACCTACATCAGAGTCCTTGGATTTGTTTATAGAATGAAAGGACATTTTGGTTCCTCTTTAGGGTCTCTTAAGTGCAATATGTGTTTGCATCAGATTTTTGGAATGTATTTACTTATATGCATCACAGAGAAATTTGTTGGTTAACTGGCCTGGGTCCTTATGACAAAAACCAATAATCTGGAAAAGTGGGAAAATGTTTTCTCAAAATAGTTGGTTCTACACTTTTGTTTGCTCTTTTGCTGTTAAAGAAAAGAATGCACATGTGGCTTTTTAGAAACTGTATGAGGGTATTTCCAGTATTTGACCAGATGAGACTGAAATCTGATTAACTTTTGTGTCACTTTGGACCAGGCATTTTTGTCATATCATTTTGGCATTAGAAATTATGAATCTGTAGATCATAAAGTGCTGTTGCCTTTTTTTATAGGGATGGAAATGGACGTACCTCTTGGGTATTTGCAGTCTCTATATATTTTCAAAATTCCTTCCATGAGGAATTCATAAATATAATTAGATGAAACTACTTTCCATTTATAATAGCAGTTATTACTTTCATGCCAATGGGTACCTTTCCCATAAATTCTTCTGTTTAGTACAATTGGTTTCATGGGTCTTGAGGACAATAGGAAACACAAAATACAGTGCAAATGTAATTGTATTGCATCAATCAAGAAGAATCCAGAAGCCTTCTTCTGTACTTTTTTGGTTAACCGCTTCTTTAGTAACTATTTACCTGGTTGATTTGTCAGTTGAAATGGATTATTTTCCCTCAGTGTAACTTAAGAATTTGAGAAAGTCAGATTTCATATTCAGAAGTTCAGTCACTGGGTTTCTTTGCAAACAAAAGACATGGTTATAATACGTTTCTTGGCTAAGTCTAAAGGTCAAAATTAACAAGTTTTAAAGGAGAACTGCAGAAGCATCTCAGAGACTTTGTAGTGATCACAAGTGAAAGGCAGTGCTGAATTCATCAATATCATAGAGAATCTAATTTATAGCTACAACTTGGTGTCTGTGATGGCAGCAGTGAAGCTTGCATGAGATTGAAATTGGGGCAAGAACGGAAAAAGCCAGCAGGTTAGTAAGGAAATAAAGAACTGTGGCTAGGGGAGAGCAGCCAAATCCTATTGTAAAGTCGGCCCTTGACCACATTTTCACTATTATGACAACTGTGAAATTCAAGATGGTTTTGTTGTTCTTGGGATCTTGGCTTTGCTTTGCAACTGTGTGGGTTCAACCAAATAATCAATTTCAATGAGTTTTTGGTTGGTTTTGTGGTTGTGTGTGTGTGTGTGCTTAGCTGGAGGCCTCAGGATATCAACTTTTAGCTTCCAGATTTTTGATAGGCAGTGACATCTTCTCTTATTTGTCATAGAATTTCTATAGGCTACAGCCCTTTGAAGCACAGAGTGAGATGTAAGGGAAAGCATCTGCTACAGTATATAGGACCTTGCCGTAACTGTGTTCAAACTCTGACCTAAGCTCCCTGCATTTCAAATGCTGCTGTTCTGTTTTTCTCTCTGTTTCAGGGTCTTTATGTCTTTGTGGTATATTTTATACTGCACAACCAACTTTGCTGTCCCGTGAAAGCAAGTTATTCTGTAGATATGAATGGGCATACAACACCGGGTTCAGCTTTTTTCACACATGGCAGTGGCCTGCCAGCTGCAGGTGGAGAGATCAGCAAGTCCACTCAGAACCTCATCAGTGCTATGGAAGAGGTAACAGTGCTCTGTTGTCATTAACTTGTGTATTGAAAATATACCTAGAGATTTTAAGTGGCAGTAGTGAAGTGTAATAGACAGGAATAAGTTGCTAGTCATTTTAGGTTGGCTTTGGGGAAGGGGGATTTTTAAAGTTTTTTACCATAAAAATTGTTATCTTTAGTTATGGTGATATTCTTGGAACTTACAATTCCCTAGTAAATCACATCTAGAGAATTTCTCTTTTTCTACTTAAGTCTTCAGTTTGTTATAAAGGCTGGTTAAAGTTTTCAGAAGTGAATCATGAAATATCAATATATCAAGTTGACGCTTTTCACTTACTATAGGCCTTAGATGAGTTTTAATTTTTCAAAGTCATGCTGTGCAAAATATATGGAAAAATTAATAGAATAGAATAAAATTAGAATAAACTGGAATGGAGGAGAGAAGGAGAAGAGAGGCATAATAAAAACAAAGTTAAATGGCATGTAGTTGAGATATATATATAGATATATATACAAAAAATATATTGTTTATTTTTAAAAAGGCTACCTGTTTCTTATAGAAGTGTCAGAATAGCTGTTTTCAAAATCTCATGGTCTTGATTTTAGCTGTGGTCATAGTTTCCAATTTCTATACTGTAGTTTTGATGATTACTGCATTTCTGTGTCTTTTTAAACTTTGCAGGTGCCTGCAGACTGGGAGAGGGCATCCTTGCAGCCTGCTGGTCAGGCTAGTGCTGCCTTCAAGCAAAGTCCACAAAATGGCAATGTTTTCCACACTTCTGGAGGATTTAGTGCCAGCTCATTGGTTGCTGATGAGGAATCACAGGAGTTTGATGACCTAATATTTGCTTTAAAAACTGGTGAGTGACTCTCCTCCTTGTTCCTTAAAGGCTGTTTTGCTGTTTTTCACCTTAGCGGTGTCACTGTGCCATGAGATCCAATTAATGAGATCCATTAATGGAATTTGATTGCCAGTTAAAATCTGAAGTAAAATTGTTTTGCCTTGGAATGCTATTCCATGACAAATACTGTGAGGGCTATCTAAAATAACAGAAAAATGGGCTGTAAAAATGCATTTTGAATCATGAAGACAAGCGTACCTATAGAAAGTAGCAGCAGATTGGAGGCTCTGACATTTTCTCACAAGTGCTTAAATAGCTATCTTGCTACTTTCAGACACTGGCTGTCTTGTCTTCTTTTTGTTCCTTATTCACATTGACATATAGGGTACATCCAATGCTTATCTTTATTTTTTATATATGTATATCTATGGGAAACTGCATAACTTCATAAATACTGATTCTCCCAATAAGTGTAAGACAAAATAGTTACATGAAATACAGTTGGTCCTGAAAAATGGGGCACACTTGAAAGATAAACAAGACAGATTTTTGCCCAAACACAAGAGCCAACTGTGATGAGCTCGCTGTGCTGCTGGAGAACAGAAGCAGTGGAAACCACTCCAGGTGTCCACATTCAAACCATGCCTGCAAAACAAAGCGTTTGTAATCAGATTACTCTCAGTAGCCTTAGAGTTCAAGTCTTCTTTTGCCCTCAATTACATATTGCTTTTCTGCCTTCTCACCCACTCCACCAAGAAATCTTAAGGTTATTTGTATGGTGATATAAATAGATAGTCAAGGTGTGGCCACAGGCAGAAGAAATGAAGTGACACCTGGGTCAAAGATAGGTCAACATGGGAATATCTGATAAGATGACCACAAAGGCAGAGGAGTGCCAGCTGATAAGACCTGGCAGATGCTCACCCAAGCTGACCTTTAGGCACTGGGTGAAATACAAATAGACAGGCTTGGTAGTAGGAGGTCGCTTGAATGATCTCTGAGGATACCATTGAGCCTTACAAGAGATAGCAGCGAGGTGCTGGTGACAACAGCAGGTTAGGTGCTCTGGCACCAATAATTTAAAAAGTTTGCTCGCTTCAGTGACACCAAGGAAAGCAGTCAAGCTAGTTGGAAGACTGGGAATGCTGCTAATGAAGGAGTAGCTTTATTTAGTATATTCGTAATACTTTATCCTCTAAGCCAATTTCCATTGCAGAAAACTCTTCTAATTAGGAATATAATTGATTTATTAATAACTGTTTTACTGCTAGGAAATATGATTTTTATGAAGATTGTCTCTAAATCTGTATTATGCCCATCAATTTTCCTGCATGTTCTGCAGACTACTTCTTCTTTGTTATTTATTTAAAGATTTGGCCAAAACTTTCAAATCTAGATGCACAAGCTTAGAATTGCAGACCTTTTTTTCTAAGTACATAAGAAGGTAGGTTTTACTTTGTCACTATTTCCTGAATAATTTGAAGGCAACCAGATAATTCATAGATAGTAAGATATGAACCCATTCATATCTAACACTCCCACCACTGCACACAGTGTTTACTGCTTAAGCAGTTCAGTTAACATCAGTTGGCCTGTTTTCAGCAGTAAACTCTACACACTGTGGAAGAATGACTCTTAAATCATGAAGAGCAAGCTAGGCAACAGCAGTAGTTAAAACTTGTGGTTAATGTAATCCATCACAATTAGCATTTCATGATATTTTAATAAATCTTCAAGCTCCACCATTAGTTAATTTGTTTTCAGACTTTCTAAAGACAGTAGGTCTAGAACTTTTTTGCTTTTGATTATTTTGCCTGAATTTTATTATTGTCTTCTTTATTAATATTTTATTGTTCATTATCATTTGTTCTCATGAGTCTTTTGTATTAGTGTGGTTTGAAGCAGAGACTTTAGGTCACAGTTGGGGAAAAATACTTTTGTTTTCATTATGGATTCAAGTAACACCTGGCCATTTTGCCCCAACATAGATTTATTTGCCTGAACTGTGTCCCCAGAAGAATTAGAACAGCAAAATAAGATGATTTCTAAGCCAAACTAGTTGTTCCATCTGTTTCCAGCCCCACAAGCAACATTTGAACAAGCCAAACTGAAAAGGCAGTGTTGAGGTTAGAGTAGCTTAAACTATCAAAGTAAATGCTTATCAGCTATTGCCTTACATACAAGCTGCAGCTTAACACGTACTTTAAACCAAAAACTATGAGCTTTTCTGCAACTAAAAATCATATCCATGTTACTATTTTTGCTCTTCAGTCTAGTACAGTGCATGGCCAAGGAGTCAAGGTCCTCCCAATGGCATGAGAGAGGGAACTGCATGGGAGCAATGAAAAGGGAGATGAGGTGATGGAAAGTGGGATTTCTCCTCTGTTTGGCAGTACAGGCTTATTCTGCAAAAGTATTCAGTGAGCTTTGGTCTGTCGGGAATTCTGTGATGCCATTAATCTAGCAGGCATTGAAAGGAACCTGTCTTCTGGTCCCTCCTGGCAGCACATTTCTTCTTCCTTCCTTGCATCTTTGTCCATACTTGTATGAAACTGCAACAAGTCAGGTTAGGGCTTTTCCTCTCCCTCTTCCTCTTCCTCTCCCTCTCCTTCCTCTTCCCCTCTGTCTCACTCTTTGTTTGCTTGATGCCCTTTGAGACCCAGCTCCAGCTCCAAGGAAGCAGTGGTCATCAGCAACTGGAAGACAAGCACTTCTCCTCTAAACAGGCTAAAATGTATGAGCAGCTGAGATGCTTTTTTGCTGCCTTGCTGTTGTCTGTCATCTGCTGTTAAGTAGTGCTTCTCAACCTTTTTGGACCAAGCTTTATTTCAGCAGGCTGAGAATTTCTTATCTGAAGTAGACAAGCCCCTGGGAGAGCAGGGGAAAGGTACTTTGCACGAGCTGTTTTTGTCACTCCTAAACTGTATGTTGTATCTTTGGCCGATAGAGGAAGAAGAGAAACACTTGCTCTGCTATTGCTTGAGTTTACCTCTGATTAACAGAAGCAGAAAGCTCTATTATCTGTTGTTCCCTAAAACTATCAATCTGTAACCAAACTCAGCCTTAGCTCCCACTCTGAAGGTTGGCTGAGGATCAACACCGATTAGCAGAGGAATATGTAAAAATGTCTTTATGCCTCTTTGCACTTCAGCTGTTCTTACTGCGTACATAGTTTGGAGGTTACTGTAATTTATGCTCGCTCTTTGTAGCCACAGGGTTTAATCTGGGAGCCAGGATCAGTGAGAATGAGGGTATAACCCACCACAGAACTAAAATCCCATTCTTCTCCTCCTGCCTCACCCTTGCACTACAGCTGATCACTTTCAGCAGTAGAAATGAAGGATGATTGATGTAAATTAAAGAAAATCAAACAACCCCCCACAGCACAACTTTATTCTTTAACTTGCAATGATTTAGGAGCTTGCAGTTTGTGGCACAGCTCCACAAATAGATATGTTGGACTTATTGCTAAAGAAACGTGCTATAGAACTATGCACTTAGCCCTTGGTTCCATAATCATTAATCCTGGGCCTAATTACAGATTAACCTGAAATACGGACTGGGTCAGATGAAGGCATGCAACTGCTTTTCTAGCAATTTAGGTGGACAACAGTGTGCTGTTTCTTAGACAGCTTTTATGCTAGCTTTCTGCAAACTTTGCATCACATGACCAGTTAATTTTTTGTTTGGTGCAATCAAAAAGCTGGACTTCTATGATAAAGTCATGCCCTCTGAATGCCTAAACACTTAGTTCCTCCTTTCCATCCAATATGTTCATGTTATACAGAAATACATAGTTAGGATTCACTATGCCCACTATGCCACCTCATATCTTATACTGTGGATATCTTCTGGGAGGCCAGCCAGCTCAAATGCAGTTTATGTGAGGAAATTATAGAACAATTATGGTAGGAAAAAAATAATTTAGGGATATCCTGTCTATTTTATGTGCTTAAATAAAAATAAAATATAAGTTATATAAACATATTATATAATATGTATTATCTAAAATAAAAACTTTTTTATTTGCATTTTTTAATTTACCTTAAATTATTGATTTTATTAAATTTCATTTATGGCTTTTATAATGAATCAAAGGCTTAGCTTGTACTGAGGTCAATGAGTTAATAATCTTTTGTTAGTTGTGCTAATTAACTTCAAAAGTGCTGTCATTTTGGACTAGACCTCATTTTTCTTTAAATTTCTTGTGCAAGGTTTATATTGATAGACACTTTAATAAGACCACTACTTTCCAGATTGTCACAGAGTTGCATATTACCATCATTAAGGCTAAAGTCCAATATATCAGAATTCCCTAAGGGCTCTGGTTAGATCTGGGGAGTTAAAAAAGCAGCCAACAGAATAAAAGAAGATGGAATCTGTCCCAAAGCAGATTCAGCTTCAGTCCATCAACTTTGCTCCAAAGCATAGATACCATAAATGCACACCAGCTTTACTCATCTCTGAGCTTCCATCCATATTCCCATCTCCTACAAATGCTCCTCTCCTCTCTTTGATGCACAAAACTGAACCAATTCATTCCTTTGGGTGAGATGTGAATGGAAGACACAACAAAGCCTTTGGAGAAGTCCGAACCCCTCCACTGCTGACTAGTGGCCCACCATTGTAGGAAGATGTTTGTGAAGATATTTATGGGTTAGAGTGCAAAATACCAGCCTAACACATGGTATTTTTCAATTATACATTAGATAGTATTAATGGGGGATACTGCTATATTGACATCTCACTGTATTTTTGCGTTTAATAGAGGCATACATGATAAATCCTAAATAAATATTCTACATGGAGAAAACCTGGGAAAATCTACTGTGTAAATTGCCCTTCCCACATACAAATGCAGCTATTACAGTAATGACGCTATATAAACCAACTCATAGTTTTCAATTTAATTTAGCTAGGTTTCCAAAGTCAGCATTTTTTTACACTGGAAATACCACTGTAGGTGCCTCATTTTAAAATTAAACATCTCATTCTGAGCATCCTGAACTAGACGAAACGTTTGAAATTTCAAATTTTGGAAGGTTTTCAGTGCAACGTCCTGGAGATGGTCTGTCACAAGGCAGATAAATTGTAGACAGTAGTAAAGTACTAGATTCATGCTCTGCCTTATCAACCAGTGTTATTTTCATTTTGAAGGGCTCACCTTCAAAAAAGGGAAGGGAAAGTAGCCAGTTTGCGTATGCATTCAACTTCTCATTTGTGAATGCTCACAAATATTCTACTTGTTGTTCGTTGAATGTGACTGAATAATATCCAAGAAGCATTTTTTTTGTACAATCTGAACTTTATTAATAGAAGTCTGGATGTCTGTTGATGTCATTTCTGTAAGGTCAAAACACTGAAAGAGCAATTAAATTTGGCTCGTGTAGCTTATTCATTTTTATCTAATATAACTTGCACATAAAATATAAACAACGATTGATTCAGAGAGCAAGATGGAAGTGTTTACAAAATAAAGTCTCCCCAGAGATCTGAGTACAGTAATTACAAAATCCTTAAAATGTTTTAGTGAAAGTTTGAGATATATCTGAGCAAACAGATGTTAACAGCTGGAGTTCACGGGCCCGTAGGAAAGCTCGCATGAAATCCTTCCACCAGTAGATGTCACTGGAGGGATCTTGCTGGGTTTGCAAAGTGAGATACAAGACCTTTTCGGTTTCTAAATAGTCCTTTGATACAAAAAGAAGGGAAGAAAGGCCTCATTTTGCTGAGTCCTTTTCTTAAAACAGTTTCTTCACAAATCGGGGAAAAGTAATACTCCTGTTGTGTACGTAGCTACCATCCAATGCTAACATCTCCAGGGGACTACATGCTTTTTGTGATCAGATTGAGTTTAAATTGAGCTAATAATTTGAGAACAAGCCTGGCCAATGAGATCTATGAAACTCCATCATAGAAACAGTTGTACTCTTCCCAGTCTGCCAGCTGTTTGGTAAACTGGTATCCTGGTTACATTTCAGCTCTCATTCCTAAACGGGATCAGCACTTACATAGTTTGCCTTTGTATCAGCAGCAGAACAAGGCCCTTGTAAACCCAGAGTAGCCCACTTCAGTCTCTGGTTTAAGAAGTTCCTAATAAGAACCTCTGTAACAAAAAAAAACTTCCTCTTACTTTGCACAAAGTGTGCATGTAAATGACATTTAAGAATATACATACATGTGCTATATGTAATAGCATATTAGACCAGCATCTGTATTTTTCTAATCTTTTTGTCTTTATTATTGTATCTCTGTATATTGATAGATTTTTACTCCTGTTATACTCTGACAGCAATTGCTGGTCTCAAGAGCTTGGGTCATACAGACTCAACAGCAGGACTCACCTAGTACATGCCAATGAACGTATGGTCATTCCATAGCCCAAACACCAAAACCAGTTGTAAGAAGGAACATAGTGCAGAAATAACCACTTTTCACCTGGATGCAGTAGGGCTGGGTTCACATAGCCAAGTTTGGTCATACGAGAACTTCTTCCAGACCTCTGCAGGACAGCCTGCCTAGAACCTGCTTGGGTTCTCTGAACCAAGCTCCATATTCAAGATTGCAGCCTGACTTTCCATACCAAAGGCGCATCCCACCGCTGCCCCTTTTCCCATACTTCTTTTCCACCTGGGGGCTAGTGGAAGGAAGGCTGCTGTGGAAAAGCTTTGTAAAGGTGGAACAATAGAGGGCATAGAAAATGATGACGTAACTCTAAAAAAAAGACCCTTATCTTGTCTTTTGCTGAACAAGCCAAAGCCTGGAGTGCCAGCTGAGGCAGAAATGAGAGATGCATGTCACAACTGATAGAAACTCCTGAACATATTTTTTAGTATGAAAATGCAAATCACTGCCTCTCCCACAATAATCTGTTCAGGTCTTTGTGAGCCAAACGTAATTCCTTTGCAGCTCCCTGGAACTACGTGTAGTTACAGATCTATGTCTGCCCAAAATGAATAACTTACCTAGTCATTTGTAAGTGACATCTTCCTAAGACCATGCCTGAAATTTGTCTTGAAATCACCATGCCTAATCACACTGGCATGCACTTCTCAATATATTTAAAGCCTAGATGCACTTAACCCTAATAATACCCATGTATTTTTTAGGATTTGCTCTACAACTCAAAGAGAGGAGCTGAAAATGCATTGAAGTTTATAGTTGCAACTGATATTCTTTGAAGAAGTAGTCTGAAAAAGTACATATTTCATAAAAGCTGGTGCAGAATTATGTATCTACATGTTATTTAACTTGAAACTCCCCCACAAATAAACCCCAGCCTCCCCAGAACAAGGAAGAAACAAACTAGCAGATCTCCTGTGACAGAAGCATGGAGAGGTGGCCTGAGGTCTCTTCCAGACATGTTTTGGAAGTTTCCATGGGCCAAAATCTAGTATTCTGTCACAGCAGAAGAAAAACACAATACACCAGCCTATGCCAAATGTGGGTTTAGGAATATTTAGTCAGTGTCTTTTCTCATGTTGAAATTACAATCCTATTAAACCAGCTGGAATTATAGTTTAACAGGGAAATTTTATCATTAAAAATCAATTTTTCATTAAGAAGTTCTTGGAAATACCAGTCTGTAACAGCCAGACCATGAACCCAGCCTAAGCCAGGCCTTGATTTATGCTTTTGTGATTTCAAGACAACCTTTGAATAGCTATTGTACCATTTACTGAGACAAATAAAGAGACTGACAGTGGAATTATGAAAAAGTGTATCTGGATGGTATAAGACTATGTCAGATAATGTTACAATCTGTGGATTCAGAACTGTAGGCTAGTAAGAAGAAGCTTGCCACATAGTTGTGGGGTAGGGAGTATTTCAACAACCAGAATAAAGCAGAGCAGGACGCACTGTCAACATTTCAGCATTGGGATTTCATTCTCACTTTTTTTTTTCTTCTTTGTTTTCTTTGTTTTGCTGTTTCAGGTGCAGGTCTGAGTGTCAGCGACAATGAATCTTGTCATGGCAGCCAGGATGGTGGCAGCATGGCTAACTCCCAGATCGTAGAGCTTAGAAGAATACCCATAGCAGACACCCACCTCTAACTCCACAGCTTGCTTGGGTTCTTTTGTCTTTTTTTTTTTTTTAATTCAATCCTCAGTATTTTTATATTTGTACTTCCTTTTGCACTAAAACACTATATATGAAACTGCGTAGTAGAATGCTGTGAGCTTTAGTGAGCGTTTAACAAGGAATGTTTGCTTGAGGTTTTGCATATCAGAAAATAAACTGTAAATTTTTTACAGTGGCTGAACATCAGTAGATACCACAGCAACTGGCCTAGATTTGTATCTTGTAGCTAGATGGCATATTTCACAAACTGTACTTTTTTTAACTAACCTTTATGTATAACACTGATTAATAAAAATAATAGTCCGTTTGATACAAACATGTTTGTTATTTCTGCTTGTTGAAATATACAACTGGAAGATGATGCAGACACACTGCTGGGTAGGAAAGCTTTTTAGTTACACAGTTGCTCAAAGTTTCCTAAGCTGAACTGATCTCGCTGTTTTTTTGAGTACCCAAATCTGTGAAATTTACAATTTCAAATAATTACAATCTTGAGCCAGAGAGCTTGAAATTTGAATGTGACATGATAAAATATGCAGTGATCTGAAACAAACAGAGGGGAGATGAAGGACAAGAGTGAAACCACTGGCATGCTGTTGACTGCCTTACCTTGCTGGTTTCATAACATTAAACCCTCTCACTTTTCTCACAGTCACAAGTAAGGAGGAATTCCAGGAAGTTTAATTTTCTGATAATCTCTCTGTGTGCCACACAGATATCCCTGTTCTGACTGAAGGGTACAAGTATTGCATTACAAACGAGTTAGATCAGTAATCTGGGGTTATAAATGAGCAAGAAATACATACACGGAGGAAGCATTTCAGACCTGAAAGGGGGAAGCAGGCTGATCTTGTTGGAATCATTAACTCTGTTTCTGCATAGACACTCTGGAATGGAAGCACATTAAACTAGAAGACCAAGGGAATTTTCTTCTGAACAGTTATGAGCATAATATAGAAATACAGTCAATGAGAATGCAAGCCTTTCATACCTTCTTTAGGAACTTGCCTAAAGGCTTAATGACAGGCAGGCTCTGAGCAGCACCCTTTCCCTTTAGAAGAAAACTTCTCATGAAAATCTATCCATGAATTTTTCTATAGTTTTATACAAATTTTGCTGTATCTTATTACTTGTTGAGCTGGGAAAAAAAAAAGAAAAAAGGTGCCAAACCAAAAACCAACAAACCAACCCCACTTCTGTGTCCCAGTTCTCTAATAGCTGGTATAGCTTACCATCATCGCTCATATCCAAAGCAGACATAGTCTTTAAGGTCTAATGCTGCAAAAGCATTCACAGACACAGAAAACTAATTCTAGTCAGCAGAGCACTTAAACAAGTGCTTTTGAATTGTACAAGTACCATTTGAATTGATGGGAAATGAGAGTATGTCTATATTTAATTAGTACATGTTCTGCTGCATTGAGTCTTCAGTTTCTTGGAATTTGCCAGGAATTCTGTTGACCCTGTTTATGCTGCAAACAGAGAGAAAAGAGGGCCAAGTCTTTGTGGTTAATAGAAAAACTTACAGGGGTTGATGAGGAAAGGGAATGAGCCTTGCTTCGCTGTGGGCAGCATAGAGAAGCACAGGGCAGTAAGGAAGACCAATGCCCATGTGCAAAAGGGACAGCCTTTAAAACTGTGTGCAGTGCCTCTGAAGCACAGTGGGCAGCTTTATAGGTGAACCATCTAAGCATATTTTATAATTCACTTTTCTGCCTATACCTACACCTGCTGAAAAAGGACTTTCTGGACACCTAAATGAAGTGCAAGTATCACTGAAATAAGTCTCAGTCTGCAGTTAAAATTAGTTTGGGACACTTTGGAATATAGTACTATTTGTTTTTTGTTTTCTACATGGGAAACCTGGCTCTTGAAGAGTTGTTTTGTTTTTTTTTGTTTGTTTTTATTCCATTCCCCTTTGTCCTGGGTTTAGCAGTAGCAGTCATTTTTCTCTTTCTGGGTAGCTGGTGCAGTGCTGTGTTTTGACTTTCAGGCTGTGAGCAGAGCTGATAAAAATGATGTTTTGGTTTGGCCAAGGACTTCGTGAGCCTCATGCTTTGCCAGGGAGGAGGGGAAGCCGGGAGGAAGCAGAGACAGGACACCTGACCCAAACTGACCAAAGAGGTATTCCATACCACAGCACGTCATGCCCAGGATGTAACTGAGAGTTACCCGGAAGGGCTAAGCGGGCTTCAGGGTTGGAGGAGGTATCGGTCGGTGCTTGGTCAGGCTCACAGGGGCAAGTTATCGGTTGCCTTGTGATGAGGTGCTGTATTCTCTTCCCTTGTTATTTTCTTTATCATTACTATTATTGGTGGCAGCAGCAGTGATTTGTGTTATACCTTAGTTACTAAACTGTTCTTACCTCAGCCCATGGGAGTTGCATTCTTTCTGATTCCCCTCTCCGTCCCTCCAGGAGTAGGGGGAGGGCAAGAAGGGGGGGGGAGTGAGTGAACAAGCTGTCTGGCTGGGTTTAAACCACGACACCCTTGAATGGACAGAGGTGAGCATTGTCCGTTGCTGATGCTTCTTATCTGACTCTTCTCTAAAACCCTACTGTGAAGCCTGGCCCTGCGGAATGATTGCAACACTTGCTCAGTTGTGAGAGTCAGGGCAGTAACAGATGTTTCATTAGTCTCAGTACATGCCACTACATGCTGTGAGAAAGCTTATAAAAGAAGGATGTTTGTTTGATTTTGACTCACCATCATAAATGTTAATACTTTGTGTCACTTCAGCTAGTTGCACAACTGGCCCGGTTAGGGATTTACTGTAAATTCATCAGCGTTTTCAGAGCAGATCAGTAGGATGAGGTCCGCTGCCAGCGTTTGTTGAGTTTTAAATCTCTAGGTGGTGCTCACATGGTTTAAAGATCATGAGATGAATTTTGTTATTGTTCTAGAACATTTATTTTTTTTAAGAAAATACTTTGTCTGTAGGAAATTCAGTGTTTTAATAGCAGGGGTCTCTCTCAGCTCCTTTTTGCTGCTGCTTGAGCAGTCAAAAGACTGAGACAGCAGCAGGGCAGATGTGCCCAATAGCCACATGTGGACAGGAGGAGCAAGTACCTTTACAGATGGCAGGACTCAGCCTAACCAGACTGAATGCCTCCTGCAGTTCCCTGGTCTCAGGCATTATTTAAAATGTGGTAAAGAGTATAAAGATTTCTTCATTTCTGTGAGAGAAATGAATCCACAGCTAAACAGTTTTCCAACCAAGTGCTACCACAGGGACTGCCATGCTGAGATGACTAACTTGTTCAACACTTTGCCTTGTTCGCCTATAGTGAAGAACACCGGAAGCTTGGAAGCTTGCTGCCTGTTTTTTTTTTCCCTATAAAAGGAGCCATCGTTCCTGCACAAGACGCCGTTCTCCCCATGTTTTGAAGGATAGAAGGAGCTGTGGTTAATATGGATGTAACACTTTGTAGATCTCTGCATAAAGGAGACTCCTTTTCCAGAAGAGCATCAGGTAGAGCTACTTTACATATATCATATAAAAGAATGGATGGGTTTCAAAAGTTTATTGCCACTTGTATGCCAACATAATTAGAATCACTTTTTAAAATATGTCCGAAGTTACTTCATGTTCAAGTGCACAAGTGATGAAAAATGCTAAGTTCAACAGACATTTTTTTGGTGATGTTTCAGAGAAAGCCACTCTGGAAGATTCTGATTTAACTTTTCTTAGTTTATATCCAAAATAAGTCATTCATGTCAGGGATTTGAGCAGAAATATTCAGAGTTTTTTCATTAGAACCTAGTGGAAACACCAGATATACCCTTGTTCTGTCTCTACCATGCAAATGCTTAGTACTCCAATATCCTATGTGCAAATTCATCATGCTGCTGAGAACTGCACAGTGAGATCTTTGACCTGCAAAAGGTTAAATCATATTGAGAGCTTTACAGCAATGTAGTGCCTATGTGCTCAACATCAAATTATGGTAAAATGACTTATAATGCAGAGGTTTGACTAGAAAATTGCTGAAGTTCAGGCATATCCTGCCTTCAGGCATATTTCACTGCAGCTCAGCCTGTACTGTGGACTTCAACCTACTATTGTATATTCTGCTTCACCATCGCTGGTGCAAACCAGTAAGAAATCATAATGTGTGTCCAGTTTGCTGGCAGCAGAATTTGTTCCTTCAGAATTGTTACTTCTACTGGCAGTAACAGGCAATGAAGATAAAACAGAATATGCAGCTTCAGGCTCATCTGCTCAATTCAATATGTTATTCTGCTAATTTTCACAGAAAAAAATCAATTTTTCATTTGAACATTCAAAATCATCCTCTATGGAATAAATACTTTGAAATAATTACAATATAACACTCTTGTATGCAATAAATACATGGAAATAATTGCAATGTAATACGCATTATTGAATGAAATCCCTGGGACTAATGATGCGCTGAATCTAAGAAGACATTTGTGTAAACTGGCCTAAATGGTAGCCTCAAAACCCCTCATAAAATATCTCACAGGAAAGACTGGCATCAAAAGTGCAGGGAAAGGTTTTTGTCAGGATTTTCCCCGACTCAGCAGGTAGGCTTTAAAGGTCACACCTGTGCTGTAGTACCTCTAATCTGAGCACAGTGATTTTATACAGTGATGCTGTAACTTCCAAAAGCTGTCATCCTTAGTGTGGCTCTACTCTTCATGCAGAGCAAATAGCAGCATCTGGCCTATACGTTGATGGCTCAAAGTAGTGTGGAACATAGATATGTGTCACTGTGTACACACAGGTAGGAAAATAATTGCAGGACATAAGAACTTAATATCATAAAAATGAATCCAGTTTCAATCTGGAAGCCAAAACATTGCAGTCCAGGTTGCGAAATAGGTTTCCCTGGAAACTTCTTAGCTCCTGCTTTGCAATTCCTGAACTGAAGCTATGTGTATGATTTCCCAGTTTCCTAACTGGAAAGAGTCATGCACCCAGGCATGGGATATACAGTTGCCAGCAAGGGTGCAAGAAAAAGGAATGCCTGAGATCTCCCTTTGCTCTCAGCCTCCTAAAATGCACAAGCATGTGATGCACCAACTGCAGCCCTCTATACACCATGATGCTGCTGCCTTGGGTCTGTCTGTTCCCCATGGTGGGGAAGAAGAGAAGCAAAGATCTTCCCATTTGGCAAGAACCAGATGGATATCTACTCCACATGCATGCAGGAACATATTTATTTTTCTTTGGGACAGCCACAGATCCTGGACACTGGGACAGGGCAGGAGGAAAATAACAGACAAACAGTGAGTAAACTCGAAATCTTTGTTGAATCCTCATAGGATAGTTGTTCCTCAACAAGTGTGTGCAAG